TATAAAAAATAAATGAATAAATAAATTGTATGAAATGACTCGATAAAATGTTTATTTGTCTTGCTGACATGCCATCACTGCTGCATATTGAAATACAGTAATACGAATTGTCAGCAGAATATTACCACAAACATTTCATGAAGTAGGCTAGACTGCTCTTTAGTTCTCTACTCAACACATTTTGTCGTGTCGCTGAGCCTCTCTGCAGATTTTGCCAAAAATGAATGCTTAGTGATTACTTTGTTTTATGCAAACCAAATATCAGTAACTCATCATTAGCATTATTTTAAAAAATCACCCACGGCTTTCATGTTCTCTAACGCAATCTTGTCTGTAAGTTAGAAGTGGATTTATACGTGTTAAAAGCCTAAAAGTATTTAATTAACATTAGTCACGTTAAATTAGATTATTTTTATTTATTTAATTTTAAATATGACTATCTTAAAGTGAGAATGAACTGTGTTCACCCCTCTTAAATCCGTGGAAGCACTAGTAGTGTGATCATGGAATCAGATATTCGAGCTATACAGAGTTGGACATTAAGTTAAGATGAGACTTTATTTTTTACACACCTGTGTGGACACCTGACTAGCAATCTTCAAGAACAATGCCCGCTGATCTTTATATATATAAAAGCAACAGTGCAGTGTTTCGTTTCTGAATGAATTAAATGGTTTGAGGGATGATTAGTTTTTACTTCAGTGATTGATTTTGCTTGTCATTTTTGCAGGATCATCAGAAGTGCTGCTGCCCTTTTTCACTGTCCCTTTCCACATCATTTGGCCTTCATCATTTCCTGTCTTGTAGCAGTATTTTCACCTGTTTTTAAAATTGTAATAATTTTTGATGCATTAATTGTTGACTGGTTTTAATGATCAATTGTTCATTTGTGTTCTGTTGCTTTGTTATATTGAATTATTGCCACTGTTTTAGCATGGTTTACACAATAAACCTTTATTGTGAAGTTAAAGTTTCAGTTTCTTTATTTTTCTTGTATTTCTTGAACAGGTAAAATAACACTTGTGCAATTTTTGAAAATTTTTACCCATTATAAAGTAGCACTATTAAATAAAATAAAATAACATTTAATAACTGTTAAATACTATACAGTAATAATGAAAGTAACGTTAAAATACCGTAGTTCTTCATGGTAAAAATGTACAATAAAATACTGTTTTCAGTTTTGCAGTATGTGTATCACTACTGTAATTGGTGTTACAGTAAAAATCAACAACAGTAAAATGATGTATTACATTTTACAGTAAATGTAATACTAATGTAATTAGTATTACAGTAATCTTACTGTTTTATGAAATACAGCAGCTACTGGATAATTGTTGCCAGTAACTTACTGTTAATTTAACAAGAAATCGTTTACAGTGTAGATAGTGCTGTCGTCTCACAGAAAGAAAGTCACTGGTTCAAGCCTCGGCTGGGTCAGTTGGTGTTTGCATGTTTTTTCTGTGTTTGCGTGGGTTTCCTCCGGGTGCTCCTGTTTCCCCCATAGTCCAAAGTCATGCGGTGCAGGTGAATTGGGTAGGCTAAATTGTCTGTGGTGTATGAGTGTGTGTGTGTGTGGATGTTTCCCAGAGATGGGTTGCGGCTGAAAGGGCTTCTGCTGCATAAAAACGTGCTGGATAAGTTGGCGGTTCATTCCGCTGTGGCGACCTCGGATTAATAAAGGGACTAAGCCGAAAAGAAAATGAAAGAATATGAATATAAATTGATTAATTTTTGGCTACACATCTGCAGGCAGTGACAAAAACTCTCACTGTGCTGTAACTACTCGATGTCTCTCACTCATGTTCCATCATTCTCATGCATTTTTTCTTTTATCTTTTTTTTACATAAATGTTTGCGCACATGATTCATTATTTAAAATTAAACAAGCTTAATATTAAAAATTCATACATTTTAAATAAACTAATACTAGCTGGTATAATGAATGCAGTAGTGTGTATGTGTGTGCAACATCATGTAGACTTATCTCCCCTCCTCATCCCATCTCTTTTTTTTTTTTTTGGAGTTCAATGTGCATATGCCAGGGATATCTAGCTAAATATGCTGTTTTTTTTTTTATTCCAGAGTGTTTATCATGATGTTGTTTAATTTGGTTTATTGCGATAAATATGAATATAAAATGATTAACTTTTGGCAACACATCTGCAGGCAGTGACAAAACCTCAGTTGTAAGAAACTCTTATTGTGCTGTAACTACTCGATGTCTCTCATTCATGTTCCGTCATTCTCATGCATGTTTACTTTTACCTTTTTATAAAATAAATGTTTGCAAACATTTATTTTTTAAAATAAAACAAGCTTAATATTAAAAAATCTTACATTTTAAATAAAGTAATAGTAGCTGGTATAATAGATACAGTAGTGTGTGTGTGTGCTACAACATGTAGAATTATCTCAGCCACCTCATCCCACTCTCTCTTTTTTTTTTTTTTTGGAGTTTAATTTAATTTAATTTATTTTCCTCAGCACTCAACAATTAGTGATGCTCTGTAGATAATGCATGATGATATTATACAGATATTTAGCAAAATGTGCTGGCTTGATCAAACTTTTAATTCCAATCCATAAAACAAAATACCAGTTAACATCATGGCATCATTAAATATGAAATCAGAGCACGCTAATAAAAACGATTAATATTTTAGTTAAATATCAGCAGGCAGTAAAAAAAATCAGTTGTCAGAAAAAAAAGCTTTATTATGCTTTAAAGCCTCTTGCATACATGTTTCATTATTCTCATTGATTCTATTTGTTCAACATTTGTTTCTTTCTTTACTGGATACACAGAAGGCATGTTTTCACTGACACTAAACAAGCTTAAACTGATAAACTCATACATTTCGTTTAAAGCAATAGTGAGCTTGTGTACTAAATACAGTAGTGTATGCTAGTCTATATGAAATTATTTAAGCTATCTCAGTCATTTTAGCTCAGCGTTCATATAAAATTTAACTGAATCTTTAATAAATTTTAAAAAAGGCATTTCGGAAGTAGTTGATTTACTGAACATTGTTACACAATGATAAAACTTGTTTGCCTCTTTATCACTGTAAAACTGCATGGAGATAATCTGCTTTGCATAAAGCGCTATGGAATAAAAGATGATTTGACTGAAGTAGAAAAACATCCCAAATAGTTTAAAAATGTGTGTATTATTATTATTATTTTATGCATTTGTGAACTTGGGGTTTTTACTCAATATTATGTTTTGATTACTGTGCTATATTTAAATTTAATTTTGAAAGCTATACATGCTTTACTTAATAAAATAATACAGGTATACAGTTGGGGTCAGAATTATTAGCTCCCTTGTTTATTTTTTCCCCAATTTCTGTTTAAAGGAGAGAAAAATTTTTCAACACATTTCTTAATATAATAGTGTTAATAACTAATTTCTAATAACTTACTTATCTTTGCCATGATGACAGTAAATAATATTTGACTAGATAATTTTCGAAACATTTCTATACAGCTTAAAGTGACATTTAAAGGCTTAATTAGGTTAACTATAGGCAGGTTAGGATAATTAGGCAAGTTATTGTATAACGATGGTTTGTTCTGTAGACTACTGAAACAAAATATAGCTTAAAGGGGCTAATAATTTTGTCCTTAAAATTGGGTTTAAAAAATTAAAAACTGCTTTTATTCTAGCCAAAATAAAACAAATAAGACTTTCTCTAGAATAAAAAATATTATCAGACATACTGTGAAAATTTCCTTGCTCTGTTAAACATAATTTGGGAAATATTTAAAAAAAGAAAAAAAATTCATAGGGGGGCTAATAATACTGACTTCAACTATCTAGTATACCCATTTACCATATGTAAAAAAAGTTACATTGTAAAACAAAATTGCTGTGTAAATTCAGTATATAGTCTATTTCAATCTGTTGCTAATTATAATAAAATATATAGTCTGTTGGATGAGAATAAGATTTTTTTTTTAAATATGTATCCTTATTGTGGTTGGACATACACTAAATATGTCTATCTACTATCTGGCTGTGGAAAAAGGAAATAAAAAGGTGAAAAAGCCATTTAGTTTTTCTTATTACGTTTAACACAACTAATGCAATGGATAGCACAGTCGCCTCACAGCAAGAAGGTCACTGGTTCGAGCCAGTTGGGTCAGTTGGCATTTTTGTGTGGAGTTTGCATGTTCTCCCAATGTTCGTGTGGGTTTCCTCCGGGCGCTCCCTTTCCCCCACAATCCAAAAACATCCGCTATAGGTGAATTGAGTAAGCTAAATTGGCCATAGTGTATGTGTGTGAATGCAAGAGTGTATGGGTGTTTCCCAATTTTGGGTTGTGGCTGGAAGAGCATCGTCTGCGTAAAACATATCGTTGGTGGTTCATTCCGCTGTGTTGACCCCTGATTAATAAAGAGACTAAGCCGAAAATAAAATAAATGAATGATAATGCAGTTCATAAATTGTTTATGTATTTTATCATCATAACCCAACCCAAACTTTGCAGTACACTAAGACCAGAGAATTATAGTAGCACGTACAAGCAAAATATGTCATTAGAACAGATTTTTAGGACTGGTACATGATACATAATGTACAGAGCATGTAGTTGATCTAACAACTGTAGTTAGTCATAAATACATGCATGCATGTTGTACTAATATTTTGACATTAACTGCACATCTGAAAATACTAATGAAGACACTGAAATGTGACGTGTCATGTCCGCAGTAGGGAATCTGATTTTTAAAGATAAATTGTCCTTGACTTTTATAAAAACTTTGGAAATAAATTTGTTTCATTGAATCCATTTTTAAAATGTAATTAAAATAAATGATAGACCCTAATCCTTTCAAAGAATATATATAGACAGGTATTATTCAATAGGCTATACGGGAAGAGTAGAATTATCAAACGGGTGGTATTTCTTTAAGTTGTGCAAAAATAAATGTTTAATGTATTCATTTTATAATTTATTGCACTTCAATTTCGTCTTCCTCTTCCCTCTCAGTCTCAGGTGAAGGAGTGGATGATTCAGACAGCGGAAATGAGAGCCGCAGCGGGAGCGAAGAGACCCATGTGTGTGAAAAGTGTTGTGCGGAATTTTTTAAGTGGTCTGATTTCTGTGAACATCTGAAGACCTGTACCAAGAATCCACTCGTGTTAATTATCAGTGACAATGAAGTGACATCAGATCCGGCACAGGACTACCTACCTGAGCCATCACCTGTGCCCAGCTGTGTAAGCGATCCAGCAAACAGCGAGGATGCAGTAGAGGTAAGCCACATGCCCACCGAAGGTGATGAAGGAGCAGAGATGATGCTGGAATCGGGCGCTGTACTGGAGAAAGAAGATGAGCCCATGGAAGTGGAACTTTCTCCCGAGAAGCCCATCGATCCGGATGATCCAGTTACACTGGCTGAGCCAGACATAAGCCTACCTCCACTTGAGGATCACAAGCAGTCTTCTGGGGCAGGATACTCTATACCCAGCACTAATGTCACACTGGAAACACTGCATGGGACCCGTGTGGCTGTGGCTCAGTTCTCTCAGGGTGCCCGGGGAGCACTAGCTAGTGAAGTGTCAACTATGGCTATCCCAATGATTCTGGATCAACTTATGGCCTTGCAGCAACAACAGCTGCGTCAACTTAAATTGATCGAGCAGATTCGGAGCCAGGTGGCACTAATAAACAATCAGGCTCCCACACAGACCGCTGTCAGTCATAAAGTAGACCACAGCATAAATGCTGCCTTACAAGTACCCTCATCCTCTAGCATACCTGCAATGCCTGGGCAGCTTCATCTGCGTGGCTTCATTACACCTCCTATAAATCAGCTTCATATGAACAACAGTTTAAATGTGCAGGCTTCAGTGGCAGTATCTTCAGCTCTGGATGTAGCCTGTACCAGTGTTCCTCCGGCGGGTGGCCAACTAGCAAGTTCTGGGATGAAAAGCAATATTGCAATAAATTCTTTATACCCAACAACCAGTAATGGTGTTTCCCCACAAATGCCACCATGCTCAGTGTCAATTAGCAGCAGTAGCTGCACTAGCAGTAGCACAGGAACTGGGGGAGAAATAAATTGTGGTATTTCACTTCCAAGAAACACACCTAGTCCTCTAACGCTGACTCATGGAAGATTGCTTACATCCCCCTCCAGCCTTCCACTTGTACCTCACAGCTCATCCAACAGTGTTATCTTCCCTAATCCTCTAGCCAGTATTGCAGCAACAACCAATGCTCTTGATCCCCTCTCCGCCCTTATGAAGCACCGCAAAGCAAAGCCTCCAAATGTATCTGTGTTTGACACCAAACCCAGCTCAGAAGATCCGTTTTTTAAACACAAGTGCAGATTTTGTGCCAAGGTGTTTGGAAGTGACAGTGCGCTGCAAATTCACCTGCGTTCCCATACTGGCGAAAGGCCTTTCAAATGCAACATTTGTGGTAATCGCTTCTCAACCAAGGGCAACTTGAAGGTTCATTTTCAAAGACACAAAGAAAAGTATCCGCATATCCAAATGAACCCATATCCAGTGCCCGAGTATCTGGACAATGTTCCAACAAGCTCAGGTATACCTTACGGCATGTCGTTGCCCCCAGAAAAACCTGTTACAACATGGCTGGACAGTAAACCTATTTTGCCCACTATCCCAACATCAGTAGCACTGCAACTCCCTCCTACTATACCCAGCATTATAGAAAGCTATGGAGATTCAACTAGTTTTTCCCCTTTAAATAGGTCACCTCAAAGGCCATCGCCGCCATCAAGCGAGTGTACATCTTTGTCTCCTAATCACCTAATTACTGAGACCAGTATTGCACAAATTTCCAGTTCACCACAACCTAATTTGGCAAGTAACACCCCTCCAGTTCTCAAACCTGAAGCACTTCATCTACCACCCAACTCCACCACCAGGCCTGGTGAAACAAGCATATCAACCACTTCCATATCTCAAGTGATCTCTACAACCATAGTTACAACCACATGTAGCACCAGAACACAGCTCACAGATCCAGTGAATTCTTCATCTGCAGTCTCTCATCCCTCTCTACAAATATCGTCAAATCAATTCAAGCCCAAATTTCCTTTTGGTGGCCTCCTGGACTCTATGCAAACATCAGAGACCTCAAAACTACAGCAACTGGTGGAGAATATTGACAAGAAGATGACAGATCCCAACCAGTGTGTCATCTGCCATCGTGTCCTAAGTTGTCAGAGTGCCCTGAAGATGCATTATCGCATCCACACAGGAGAAAGACCCTTTAAATGTAAAATATGTGGCCGTGCTTTCACAACCAAGGGTAACCTGAAGACACACTTTGGGGTTCACAGATCAAAGCCCCCTCTCCGGGTACAGCACTCTTGTCCTATATGCCAGAAAAAGTTTACTAATGCCGTAGTTCTGCAGCAACACATTCGCATGCATATGGGTGGACAGATTCCTAACACACCTCTGCCTGATACTTTTCAGGACACAGACGCAGATCTGTCCTTTGATGAAAAGAGCTTAGATGCCATGAGCAACTACGACGATGAGCTAATTGATGAGATGGACCAAGCACTGGAAGATGAAACAGGTCTAAAAGACGAGAACATGGACCTGCACAAACAGCTCCATCTATACTCAGAGATGTCTCCTAGCACTTCACCCCCAACTTCTCTTATCTCAAGCATTGGTGCTTTTGAGAATGAGATGAAGCTTAGTGACCCAGCTGTTAACATTACCCACTCTTTCAGCGTAAAGCCTACAGAAAACGGGAGTGGAGTTGATGGGGTAAATGGAGACATGCTCAAGAATGACTTATCTTCCACTCTAGTAGATTTGGAGAACCACAGTGTAGGGAGTCCAGCACAGTCTGAATCGTCTGGCTCTATGCTGGCTTTATCGCCTACCTACAGTCAGTCCGAGAGTCATCGCTCTAAGTCTCCTCAGGCAAATAGCAGCAGCAAAGATGAGGCTTTGACCTCAACCTCGGCGCATGCAATGGTGAAGTCTGAACAGTTGGACATCCATTCTCCTGGATCGGAAAACACGGGCGCATTAGATCTCACTGCCACACAGCCCACCAGGTCATTTGTCAAAGATGAGAATCCCTTCAGTTTGCTGTTCCTGGGAAGAGACAGAGGTAGTATTTCTTAAATAAATTTATGTTGAACACAAGATCAAAAATGACAGAAACTGTGATTTGATGTGATCACCAAAATGAATCGAATCAAATAAATGAAATGTTTTCCCTCTTTTAGGTTTAAGCACTCCCAGCAATATAAGCTCAGAATCAAGCACAGTGAAATTTGAGAATGGACACAGTAAACCGCCGGCCTTGTGTGAGGGGCCCCACTTACCAGTTGGTCCGCAGGTACCTACTGCAACCGCTCAGACAACAATAAGCTCCAACATCACTCCAATGCTGGCACCGCCCCCACCTCGGCGGACCCCCAAACAACACAACTGCCACTCCTGTGGGAAGAATTTTTCATCAGCCAGTGCTCTTCAGATCCATGAGCGCACTCATACAGGCGAGAAACCATTCGGCTGCTCCATCTGTGGCAGAGCCTTCACCACAAAGGGAAATCTGAAGGTATGGTGTTGGTTTAGTATTAATACAGATTAATATCACAAAGCACACTCAAAACTCAGAAATACTTATAAAAAAATTAAAAATAAAGTTTTGATAAGACTTTACTTGAAGGGGGTGATCGTAAAGACTGACATGATACCTTTGTATTCATGACAAGGCACATGTCATGAATAAGAATGAGATTTTATGCATGTCATTTGCTAAGTTATGCCATTTTCAATGGAAAGTTGACATAGTTTGAGATACTTATGATGTCTATACATCACAACTTGCCATTTTCGTTGTCATGACAACTTGACCATTACCAAGGCAACATAACTTGTCAAAAATTCCTTATAAACATATATATTCTCATTAAAAAGTGTCTAAAAATAAAAATAATCTATCAACTTAATATTTAATAACATTATAACCATAGTTTTAACTTGTATCACTGTAGTTAAAAAGTAAAAAAAATATTAACGAAGGAGTTTTAAAATTGGTGGCTCAGTAGGTAGTGCTGTCGCCTCACAGGAAGAAGGTCGCTGGTTCGAGCCTCGGTTGGGTCAGTTGGTGTTTCTGTGTGGAGTTTGCATGTTATCCCTGCATTCGCGTGGATTTCCTCCAGGTGCTCCAGTTTCCCCCATAGTCCAAAGACATGCAACACAGGTGAATTGGGTAAGCTAAATTGTCTGTAGTGTATGAGTGTAAATGAGTGTGTATGGATGTTTCCCAGAGATGGTTGCAGCTGGAAGGGCATCCGCTGCGTAAAACATATGCTGGATTAGTCGCTGTGGCGATTCCCAGATTAATAAAGGGACTAAGCCGACAAGAAAATGAATGAATGAATTCATGACACCACAATAGCCTCATGACAATCATGTTTATGACAGATTTATGACAGTCTTTGATAATGTCAAGTTGTCATAACAGACATCTCAAACAATGCAGACATCCCAAGTTGGGCAAAGTAAGTTCCGGGGCTGGCGAAGTCAAGGATTTTTGGGACGTAGACCAGCAGAGGGTTGTGTGACATATTGGTAGAGTGCGGTGGGGGTGAGGGGGTGTTTTGGTGTCCCGTGACATATCAGAAGAGTAGGGGGTGCGATTGGTTGGTGGTCAATTGGGAGCATGACGTGTATGTAGAGGGGTGGTTGCATGAGATGTATTTGAGGAGCAGGGGAGGGGAGGTGGGTTGGTGGGTGCTGCGAGTTGTTGATGCCTCCATATTCGGGGCATTATCACTCATTTGCGGGCATCAGGGAGTTAATATGCATATGCGGGAGACTTCCGGAACTGCCGGGGGGCTTGTGATGTCTAAACAATGTCACCTTTAGATTTAAAATGACAAAACTGAGTGAATGCCACTTTACGACAGTCATCATAAGCATGCATGAAATCTCAGTCATGATTGTAAATGTTTACAAATGAAAACCCTCTTCAAAAGTGTTACCAATGTTAGATTTCCTTTGTGTGTTTGACTTGTATAAAATAAACCACCATTCTCCGTTCAGGTCCACATGGGAACCCACATGTGGAACAATGCTCCAGCCCGGCGGGGTAGACGACTCTCAGTGGAAAACCCAATGGCTCTTCTAGGGGGAGATGCCATCAAATTCAGCGAGATGTTTCAGAAGGATCTCGCCGCACGAGCAATTAATGTAGACCCAGGCTTCTGGAATCAGTATGCTGTAGCCATCACCAGTGGACTGGCAATGAAAAACAATGAGATCTCTGTCATTCAGAACGGAGGCATTCCTTCAATTCCCATTAGTCTGAGTGGTGGTGGCATTCCTGCTGTAGGAGGAATGTCAGGAGGCATAGAAAGGTCTCGCACTGGAAGCAGCCCTCCAGTGACTGGACTTGAGAAGACCAACCTGGAAATGGGAACCGGACATCCCTTCTCCAGATTCAGGGAAGAGGACAAAGAAGTTGGGATTAATTGACGATTCACTTTCGGAAAACGATACAGACTCCCAAATTGATTGTGATGTGGAAGGTGATACTTAATCCCGTTTGAGTTGTGTATTATACTGTACAAATGAAGTCTGATATGCTGTCTAGATTTGGAGCTCTAGTCTTTAGTGTTCTTCAGTCCCTACTATACATTCATTCATACAAGGAGACTTTGTGTGAAACATTTGTCTTGAAAGGTTTGCATGGTACTTACTGGTTTCTATCCGTTTGATTTTTAAGTATTACGATGCTCTGGCGCAGGAAGAAAAAAAAAAAAGAAAAGCTATTTCTATGCGGATAGACATATGGTTGCTTTGTGGTACATGGGGGGACATGAAATTGGATATTTTAATCAGCTTTTTCATACTAGACACTTGACCAGACAAAATGGTTGTATCTATTTTAATCTTTACATTCATTCTCCAGCCGTGGTCTTATATTAATGTGCTGTGTCTTAATATTTATGATAACTTAACAGCGGGTATTGAAATATATTTAATTGCCTGAGTTTCTATTTAATTTAATTTCCAAATTTGAATTTTAAATATATAATGAGACAAAAAAATATCATCAATGCAATCATACTGAGGTGTTTTGTTTTTGTTTTCTAGATATCTAGCCTGTAAATGTGTAACAGCTACGCTACACAGTGGGACGGCTACGATATCTAGAGCTGCTACGCTCACAAGCCTCTTTTTTATCCTTTGTAAAGAAATAAAAAGAGTTTTACAAAAGAGTTTGTGTTAAACAACAGCAAACCTACTGAGTACAGACACGACTGGTATGCATATTTTGTAACACACAAAAGAAATGTCAATTTGTTATGTTTGTGAATGCACTTTTTAGAGGAATGGTCTTGTTTGTGAGATTGTAATTATGTGGGACTGAGCCATCTATAACTTTATTTCCTGTTCGCTTTTTTGGGGTTTGTAAATGTGAGTTCTGGATGTAGCACAGGAATATGAGCTTTCTGCTCCCAAATCTCAAGACGTTCTGTCTTATCAAGCTCAAATAAAATGACAACAGATCCTGTCTGTTTAATGCTGTCTATACTGTCATCATGACTGTTGCTTTTCTATCAAACTAATTTGGTCTACGGGAAATGAAACTGGGATAACAAATCAATAAAATAGTTCTGTCATTAAAATTTGATTTTAAAAAATTCTGCACTCTAAATATGCAATAGGTGATTACGTACCCCGATATATATTTCTAGAGAGTGTCAAATATGTCCCAGGAGCTACTTTTTTTTTGCAGATTTTGTGTTCACGAAACCACCAGAGGCCGCCGTGTACGTTTTTTCAGATCTCAAATTTCTGTCGCGAATGCCATTCACGCCTGCTGTTCTCACATAAATCCACCAGAGGCCGCTCTCGACAGACTGACTGACCAACAACCCCACCCACCCTCTTCCCTTAACCCAACCAATAGTATTTTAAAAAGCACCGATTGGCCAGTGCCCTGGCAACGCGGTGGCACAGTGGGTAGCACTGTTCTCCCCGTGTTTGTGTGGGTTTCCTCCGGGTGCTCCGGTTTCCCCCAGAGTCCAAAGACATGTGGCATAGGTGAATTGGATTACCTAAATTGGCCGTAGTGTATGTGTGTGAATGTAAGAGTGTATGGGTGTTTCCTAGTACTGGGTTGCAGCTGGAAGGGCATCCACTGTGTAAAACATATGCTGGATAAGTTGGTGGTTCATTCCACTGTGGACTGACCCCTGATGAATAAAGGGACTAAGCCAACGGAAAATGAATTAATGAATATTATTATTAGTAGTAGTAGTATAATTAAATGTTAATCAAATGTATTTTTATTACTCCATATATAAATTCCATGACCAACGATATCTCCCAATCTTTCCTTGAGAATGAAGATGAATGCTCTCTGTCTGCAGGTCACTCTGCAGCTTATTTCCCCGTTTTTGTCTTGTTTTTATGAATATTGCATTCCAGACATTCTTGTGCTTATCACTTACAATTATCAAATAAAAATGTTCAATCTTAATTTTACAGGGTTGACTAAAAATATAAAGACTTTTGTTTTAGCCTGGGAATGGGGTAATTTTATGAAATTCAATCATATAATTTAATATGCTGAAGATTTAAAAGCACTTTGTGAAAGGGTGCCTTTTTAACTCAAATGATTTGAATTACTGGATGTGGGTTTTAGCTGCAGTGCTGGATGTACTGTCTTTATGTCTGGCTGTATGTAGCATGAGTACAGTTTTACACTGTTATTTACCACAGTCTGTTGATCATATATCACCGGATAAAATTAAATAGGTTCTAAAAACTCAGGGACACACACACAGAGACACACATACACATACACTCTCTGAAGAAGTTACGAAAGCTGTCACTGAGGAGGTACCTTTTCTTACAGTACACCTACAGTTAAAGTCAGATTTATTAGCCCGTCTGAATTATTAGCTGCCTTGTTTATTTTTCCCCCGATTTCTGTTTAACGGAGAGAAGATTTTGTTCAACACATTTCTAAACATAATAGTTTTAATAACTCATTTCTAATAACTGATTTATTTTATCTTTTCCATGATGACAGTAAATAATATTTGACTACATATTTTTTAAGACACTTCTATACAGCTTAAAGTGAGGTCCACTTAAAGGTACATATCGACACCTAAAAAGTACAATGTGTACTTCATAGTACATTAAAAGTACAAAAGTATACCCAAAAATGTTCCTTTAAAGTACTAATGTGCACCTGTAAGTTACAAAAGTGTACGTTTTGAAAAGGTACAGCCCCAGTGATAGCCTTTGTACCTTTATTATTTCTGAGACTGTCCACACACAGTCACACCCACATGGAAATGCACATAAGTTGACCCTAACATTTACACACAGACAGACACAAATGCAAACTCACACACATGCTCAGACACACTAAACACATACACTGTCACCCTCGCATGTATATAAGCACACACAGGGGCACTGCTAGCTAGTTTGGTACCTATGACAATTTTTTTTATGGGGGGGTGTTGCATGGGCCCTGTTAGAATCGTCCTATCTCCACCTTCACCCCTGGTCACACACAACACACACACATGGATGAATTCATGTTGTTGACTTCAAATTCTGACCTTACCATTCAAATGATGCAGCAGAAATCGAGACTCATCAGACCAGGCAACGTTTTTTCAATCTTCTATTGCCCAATTTTGGTGAGCCTGTGGGAATTGCAGCCTCAGTTTCCTGTTCCTATCTGACAGGAGTGGCACCCAGTGTGGTCTTCTGCTGCTGTAGCCCATCTGCCTCAAGGCTGGACGTGTTGTACATTCAGAGATGCTCTTCTGCAGACCTCGGTTGTAGCAAATGGTTATTTCAGTTACTGTTGCCTTTCTATCAGCAGGAACCAGTCTGGCCATTCTCCTCTGACCCCTGGCATCAACAAGGCATTTGCGCCCACAGAACTGCCGCTCAATGGATATTTTCTCTTTTTCAGATCATTCTCTGTAAACCTTAGAGATGGTTGTGCGTGAAAATCCAAGTAGATCAGCAGTTTCTGAATTACTCAGACCAGCCCGTCTGACACCAACAACCATGCCATGTTCAAAGTCACTTAAATCACCTTTCTTCCCCATTCTGATGCTCGGTTTGAACTGCAGCAGATCGTCTTGGCCATGTCTACATGTCTAAATGCATTGAGTTGCTGCCATGTGATTGACTGATTAGAAACTTGTGTTAACAAGCAGTTGGACAGGTGTACCTAATAAAGTGGCCGGTGAGTGTATGTCATATTTCTCTGATTCATCTTATTTACTTTGTGTTTTTCTATCTGTCCTTGGTAAACAATTATTTAACTACATTTTTAAAAATATATAGGCTAGTTGATTATGTATTCTACATTACACATAATTGTGACTGCTCTATAAAAACTAAATTAGTTTCTGTTTACTTTCCATAACAGCACATTGGGTATTTCAACATCATCCTGCAAATGCTCAACCTATATCTAAATACATACATACAATTTAAAAGCTAAAATGACAACTTCGGATACATAGATACATTTATTTGTGCAGTATTAAACCTCTCGATAGTCTGTTTTAAGCTTTTCAAAGTAGGCATTTTAAATAGTTCTTATAAAAATAAGTAATAAGTAATTATTATCAGTAATTTAATAAAATAATTTATTTAAATCTCTAATTAGGAGTATAAACAACAGATACACTACAACACGTAGCATTGATTTTGTTAGCCATTATAGCTTTCACATGACAAATGCTGTAGCACAACAATTAGCATAGCATACTTAATCTCTGTCTGATCTTAAATTGTTTTCAGTGCACGTGCTACACACAGTTCCACACAGCTGACCCTAAAAATACAGATAATTAAGAAATACCACAATATGACTCCTGAAAGCTGTGTAATGTTCATTTTCTGATGCTCTCTTTTTGCTCTGCTCAGACTAAAGACCTCATTGCTGAAGACGTTTGGCAGTTCTGTGCTCCACCTACAGGCCAAACAACGGAAAACCAATGACAATTTTGAAAGCTTTTTCACTTATTTAATCAAACTATTATTTGTAGAATTATTATTATTATTATTATTATTAATTTATTTATTCAGTGTATCAAAACCGACCTGCTAGTTCACGCTATTTTGTGCAATTATTGCCTCACATATTTAGTTACCTAATGTTATTGTCATTCATGATAATTTTGTGTATGGAGAATTTGAAGAATGATCATAATTATAATGATACCTTTTTAAGTGATAGCATCCTCTGTATTTATGCAGTTTCTATGCATACATTTTGTTTAATCAAAAACGAATTGCACCCTCAATATACGTATAGATATTAGTCACTAAAATATTACTAATAATACTAAGATATTGTACAGTGCATCCGGAAAGTATTCATAGCGATTCACTTTTTCCACATTTGTTTATGTTAAAATTCTAATGCAAATTTATAAAAAATAAAAAAAAGGCCTGAAAAATCACATGTACATCAGTATTCACAGCCTTTGCTCAATACTTTGTTAATGCATCTTTGGCAGCAATTACAGCTTCAAGACTTTTTGAATATGATGCCACGAGCTTGGCACACCTGTCTTTGAGAATTTTTGCCCATCCCTCTTTGCAGTACCTCTCAAGCTCTATCAGGTTGGATGGAAAGCGACGATGTACAGCCATTTTCAGATCTCTCCACAGATGTTCAATAGGATGTAGGTCTGGGCTCTGGCTGGGCCACTCAAGGACATTCACTGAGTTGTTGTGAAGCCACTCCATTGATATTTTGGTGGTGTACTTTGGGTCATTGTTCTACTGGAAGATGAATCGTCGCCACAGTCTGAGGTCAAGAGCACTCTGAAGCAGGTTTTCATTCAGGATATCTCTGTATATAAGATATATATAAGGATATCCTGATTCTGTTGCTTGGTCAGTTGAGCCATTGGTCTATTGATATAATTCATGGGTCCCTCAATTCTGTGGAATTAAAAATAATACCTTTGAAATACCGGAATTGGTTATGCTGGTTTCATTTATTAAAGGGCACCTATTATTAGTGACTAAAGACAAGGTGGATACATTTTGCTCCCCTTGATTGAAGACTTTCTGTATAGATAACAAAAGAGACGCTGTGCAAAGTTTGGCAGATTAATCCTAAGAGGTACATAGTTTATAATAATACAATTACATGATAAACAGCTTCGTGACCCATAATAAATCAAAGTGTAACTCCTAGCTGGACCTTGAGTCATTTCTGTTTGGAGTTCCCATGTTCTCAGCGTGCCTCCGGGTGCTCCGGTTTCACCCACAGTCCAAAGATATGCAGTATAGGTCAATTGGATAAGCTAAATTGACTGTAGTGTGTGTATGGGAGAGTGTGAGGGTGTTTCCCAGCAGTGAGGGTATACTCTCAGTGCTGGGTTGTCGATGGAAGGGCATCTGGAGTGTACAACAATTGCAATGTGATTGGTTGTTCATTCTGCTGTGGTGACCCCCCGATAAAGCTTGCTGGCTGTACCTTGTTTCAAGCTGGCTTTAAATTTCAAGCCAGTGCAACTCAATCTAG